GCCGCCAGGGCCTGCCACGTGAAAAAAAAAAAAAAAAGCAAAAAAAAAAAAAAAGAAGAGTATGCCAGTACATTTGTGAAGAAAATCTGTCCCAGTTTACGCCAATGTTGCCATATTTACAGCAACATCGGATGAACTCCCAGGCCAAACAAATTTTTCTCTGATTAAAAAAAAGATGTTTGCAAACACTTTCACATCCATGATGTCTGGCTTTACCCATCTCTGTATCTTGCCACAAATGTTTGCTTACTTTCACTCCACAGAATACTCCTGTTTTTTCCAAAGTGCTCAGTGTTAACGCTGTAATTACAGAGAAACAACAATATGAACAGGGATTGGGGCCCAAACTTTTGTTCACTTTCTTCCTGTGCCATTCTTTTTTTTTTTGGTTTTTTTTACTTTCCAGTGCTTCCAGTGTGAGGGACAGCAGGCCAAACATATAACAATTGTTGTGGTAAGCCACCAAGCACATGCTGGCTGACGCCCCTCCATTGAAATGGAAAAGCAAGAATGATGGCTGAGAGTTGGTGCTAATTGGTAACAGGCTGCCTAAATCATCCTTGATTCAGCTCCAAATTACTGTAAAAAACAAATAGTTCACTGCTATGCTGGGTGACAGATCTGGCACGTAACAACAAAGTATATCTGAGGTTCACGTTGTGTTAAAAAAAAAGATTATTTTTCAATTAAATGTCTATTTCGCACTGCCCATAAAATTCCAAACTTCATGTATCCCCACAGTCTCATATTTTCCTTGAATGAGCAATTTTAAATGTAAAAAAAACCAGACCAAATAAACTGGTGTGTGTTGAATTTCATGACTGTTTCTAATCATTTTTTTTCCATTCCCAGTGGCCAGTGTAGCTCCATTTCAGGCCACTGTGGACAAAATAGGATGGTTACTTGATGAGATTACTAAATAATCTCTACGCCTGCCATTCCTACTTTTATGAAATATCATTTTGGTCTCCAAACAATTTTTTTTGATTCCGTTTATTTTTCCAGGATTGTCAAAGAAAAATAAATGTTGGGGAGTCACATTTTGACATCTAAGATGTTCTGTAGTACATCATAACCTCTGTAATGAAGTGAACTAATCTTTTGACATTTAATATCCAGCCGATTGGCTCAAAATATGAAGACATTTTACAATGCAAGAATCATAGTGAATCGCTACCACAGCCTTTTTTAGTATGGTGTTCTTTTTGGACATGAATAAAATATTTGATTATTAAGTTACATTATTACAGTTAGAATGTAAATAAAGGTCTTTTCGACAAAGCCATTCATGTGCTGCGAGGGCGTGAGGATGGAGCGCCATGTCAGGGTGAAAAAGGTTCAACTTGAGAGCAGTGTTGCGGTGAGGTAAGAAGGCGCATCCAAGGGAGGAGATGGTGAAGCGATTTCAGAGTGCAAATGGAAATACACCAAGCAGTGGGAAAAGCATCTATCCTAGTTCTTGGTCAGCCACTAAACAACCAATTCCAAATATGTGCAAGCATGCAATGTGGGTGCTATCGTCCTTGCATGCTACCCCACGACAAACAAAAAACGACCAAGTGCAGGTGAAACGGCATTAAAAGGTAACCTTCCACTCATTCCAGACTGATACAGACCTTCCTAAAACTGTCTTTTATGACAATTCATTCCATTTCATAATGGTAGTTGGAATTTTCCACAGTTGGATGTCATGAAGTCTTTACGTGACCTCTTCTGCATTGCGGTCGATTGGGTTCAGCCAACTTGGTTGGAAGACTTAAAATGCTAACCTGAAGAAAAGCCTCATGACGAAGGTCTTCCATTTCATGATTCAAGGGTTTCAAAAAGTGGCTGGTCCTAGCAATGAGACAAATTATAAAGTCCTTACAATAACGAGCTCAATCCAAAGAGGAAAATTTCAGAATTTGTGATGCAAAGCTCATTAAATGGTTGCAGTATAGTGAATGCACTCTTTAATTGGCATGAGGATGCCGCCAGCCTTTGGTAGAAAAAAACAAAACTAAATCCTTATTGAGAAACTCGGGAACCTTCAGTTTCTGCTCGTTTGTGGGCTGTGCTGCCTTTAGTTTTGTTTTCAGTATCCTGATCCAATAGGTTGGGATCAGGTAACTTCACTTTGCTATGAACAATATTCAATTTCTTTGCTTTCAAGAAGTCACGCGTTGCCTTCTTGGTAAGTTTAGGATCATTATCTATCAATATCATGAAGAGCCATCCCATCAGTTTTGTAGCATTTGGCCAAATGTGAGCTGGGCTAAAAGCCCTGTACACCTCAGAAATCATTGTGTTACTTCTGTCAGCCGACACATCATCATTACTAGTGATCCTGTTCCATTAGCAGCCATTCAAGCTTAATGTCATAAAATGTCCACCACCAAGTTTGACAAATGATTTGGTACGCATTGGACCGCAAATCTTTCTTTCTCCATATCTTTATCATCTGAGACGTTGATAGTTGATTTTGGTTTCAACGAATCATTAAAAGCTGGCAAAGTCTGTTTCTCTGTATTTTATACCCAGACATTTTGACAATATTAGATTTGTATTCTTTCGAACCATTGCATTCTTGTTGACAGTGGGCAAAGCTGTGCTAAGGTAAAAATGCAGGCACAAAACACAAATGTGCTTCAGTGATTTAGTACACTTGTCATATAGGTCTTGCTGAAACCACGTCAAATCAGAAGGGGTAAACACCTTTGAACACAAAATAGAAGGCAACATTAATAAATGACTGGAATAAAAAGTAATACAGCATTAGGATCCACAGCCACAGGAAACCTGAAGTGAAGGAGGACGACAGTGCAAATGTCAGCAAAGAGGAGTAGTATATTACACTCATATAATAAATATTTACTGTATTTTCCGCACTGTTAGGCGCTTCGGAGCATAAGGTGCACCTTCTAATGAATAGACAAATTTAAAACTGGTTTCATGTACTGTATATAGGGCGCACTGCATTATAACGCGCATAGATAGAAGCTACAATAAGATAAGATAAGATAAGATAACCTTTATTTGTCCCACACTGGGGAAATTTGCAGTCTACAGCAGCAAAATTGGCGGGGTAGAAAAGAAAAAAATATTGAAAAAAACAATAGTGGCTGGGGTTAGGTTATGCATCCACTAGACGGAGCTACGCTAAAGGGAATGCAATACAATACAGCTTTATTTCAATAGAACTTTCAAAATTGTTGCAGCTGTTACAGAACATTTAAAGTACGACGTCCAAGAAGTCAGAATACTGAACCGCATATAAGGCGCATCAAATTATAAGGCGCACAGTCGGCTTTTGAGAAAATTGGTTGCTTTTAGGTGTGTGTTGTGTTTCATGAATCAGTGGGTGATTTGTACAGAAAGTGGAACTCAGAAAAGTGGTATAGCCAGCTAGCAACTAGCGCTGCTGAAGAAGGACGTCGCAGGACTCTGACAGCTCAAAAATTAAGTAAAAGTTTTATCCATCTATTCAATTTCCGAACTGCTTAACCTGACAAAGGTCGCAGGTGTGCTGGAGCCAATCCCAAGGGCAGGATACACGCTAAACTTGTCACCAGACAATCGCCGAAATAGACACAAATAGCCAACTACCCACATTCACGTTCAGATCTATGGACAATTTAGAATGTTCAATCATCCTATTATGCATGTTTTTGCAATGTGCAATGAAACTGGAGTACCTGGAGAAAACCTACGCAGGCACAGGGAGAACATGTAAACTCCACACAGGAAAGCCAGAGTCCAGATTCGAGCCCACGACCTCAGAACTGTGAAGGGGATGTCCTAACCATTAATTTATGATGCCACTTTTGTAAATGTTATTTAGAATAAATCAGTTCTTCAGTTCCTCCACCTCGCCATGACAGTACAAGTCGACCCCCTGGCTCACAATCAATATGGGAATGGAGTCAGGAGCCCCATTGAGCTCGTGTGTGTGTGTGTGTGTGTGTGTGTGTGTGTGTGTGTGTGTGTGTGTGTGTGTGTGTGTCTATGCATGAGGAACATAAACCCACCATTCCATCATGACATTTTAATAAGGCAGCAGTTTAAAAATACTGCAGTTATTTGAGAAACACAACTTCTAAACAGTCTCAGAGTGACCACTACTGCCTGTGCCTTCACTTCCAAGTCACACCCTATTAAATTACTATTAAATTCTCCATTGGTAATGAAATTCCATCCCAGGTTTTCTGTGCTGGCATTAACATTTGCCTGACATCAGGAGCTGCATAGTAAGCTGTTGAGAACCATGAAAATTGGACAGTAAATATCCAAAATGAACAAATACTTTATGTTGTGACTCACTCGTGTACACAGGAAGCACGTGGCATTTCCATGTACAACGGATTAAAACATTATATCCCAGGAAAAAATAAACTGTGGGAAAACCACAGCTAATTCGATAGAATTAGGTGAATAATTTGTAATGTTTCCCCCCCAAAAGATTTAGGTCACATCACTTCTTGCAATAAAGAGGGCGTTGCCACTTTACTGTGGCCATCCTTGATGTACTTTATGGGACGCGACAGTGTACTTCTGAAATAGTGTTAATGCATTTTAGTGTTTGACTATACTGCCAAACAGTTGGCACTATTTTTTAAACTACGTTTTCACAGTGTAATCATTTGTAAAACAGGCATATTGGTAACCTGTCATTGGAATGAATGGTATTAGCATTTATTTGACAAATGACGTTCGGCAATAAAAAGGGGAACAAGTCATGGAAACTTACAAATTCAGTAGATAATTGCTGAAGTAAGTGAAAATGGTTGCCTGAATAAAAGTGGCTACAGTATCATTGCTAAAGAGCACATGCAGTACTTTAAAAGTGAAGTTGTCTTTTTCTTTTTTTTGTTTTGTTTTTTGTAGCTTTAGTCTGACAAAGGCAAATTTATAAAAACTTATGGCACTGGCCAAATACATACTTATCTTGGGGTAATAAATGCATTTATTTTAATTCTTTGAGGTCCATTGCTTACATTTTCTAGCACAAGATTGAATGGTACCTTGCAAACAGTTTCAACATCCCATGGCAGGATAGTGCGAAGGTCGATGACCTCACAGGAAACACCCAATTTCTCCTGAGCCATTTGGGCCACTTCCTTCATCACATGTACCTAAAAGAAACAGGGGGGGAAAAACCCACATGATGATGATGATTTTTTTTTTTTTGTCTTTCACTCATTACTTTCTGTGATTCTATCAAGAGAGTAGTGATACCTTTCGAATAAAACACATTTTAATTTAGTTTATATTATTGCCTGAAACAATAACTTTGTCTGCTCTTCTGGATCTCAAATTCCACTCCTCTGATTTTCTTTCTCACTTAACTAAGATGGCCAAGCATCTGAGGAGTGGTGAAGTAGGAAACAAAGAAATACGTTTCAGAAGGAAGGGCCATTGTTTCCACTACTTGACTGGATCATCTCTCTTGCCAAGTCATCTTTCAAGAATAATACGGGCTTTGATGGAGACGCTTTCTCTCAGTATCCACTGGACCCCATCTCAGGCTGCAGGCACACTGGGGCACGGATAAGCCAGGTAAAGTGGCTGGGAACAATCAAACTGAATCTGACTCCTGGTGAGTGACAGGCTCTGTGACAGCAAGCCGTAGAAATCAAAGCTCGCTGATGAAAAGACCATCAACAATGGAAAGAGGGCTGCAGACATGCGCCGTTAATAGGCGGAGAGCAACGCACGGCCTTGGTTCTGAGATGTCTGCACAGATATAGTCTAAGCATGCCAGCTGAGAGACCCTGCAGTGACACAGGAGGCTCGTCATGTACTTAAAATTAATCCACCCGCTTTGAACATCACATATTGTTGTCCCTACTCCCTGTGACCAGGGTTCCAAAGATAGACGGTGACTAAACCATCCAGCACACCCACTGAGATGTTGTCAATGATGTGCAGAATCACCTACCTGTGTACCCCAGGCAATCAATGTGACATCACTTCCTTCCTCCACAACCTCAGCCTGTGAGAGTGGAATAGTGAAGGCTTCTGTGGGAACTTGCTCCACTGCAAACACAAAAAGTCAATCAGAAGCATTCCACATCTGCAAAGTTATCCAACCTGGTCGTAAAACTCACTTGTACACCGTTTTTGTGTACACTGTAACGTACTGCAACCTTGCCCCCTCAAGCAGTTTAACCTTCATTCACTGTTCATACCAGAGGAGATTGCTCTAAGACTGCAAGGGAAGCTCAGCTTCCCCTAAAATGTCAAAAAATAAGTGATCAAATATATGTGTGTACATACAATTGTGTGTACATGTCATTGACTAAATATGCGCGACAACGCGCTCAACTTTTGTTCCGAATCAGCTTCTTATTACTGGTTATGACGCGACTCTCTTCTCATTCATTCCCGCAGCTTCACTGTGCTTTAAACTGTGTGGACGCTGAGCGTCTACAGCGCGGATGCTGGGCGTCTAGAGAGTTCAGAGCCTGTTGTCCCAATGCATTGAAACGAGACGAGTCATTGGATAAATGCTGGTTTTGTCCCACCCATCGGACGCTTCTACGGACAGTGCGGCGTTTATCGGCTGGCCCGGACGCTCAGCTTTTCTGCATGATGATTGAATGATCTGTCTGAGGCTGAATCTCTTTTTCATTGACAGCGAAATGAGCCAATCACCGATCTTTTGGTGTCGGCATCCGTGGGAGCATTTTTCAATTCTCATTCTGTTCTGAGTTCAACTGGAGACTTCTAATAATCATAGCAACACTCTCTTGTTGAAAACAACTAGCGACAGATTAATATTTTATTTCTGGTGTTTTATTGTAGTTGGTTGTGTTCACAGACTGACTTATATCACGCCAGTTAAGACCCTGGAAAAGACACCTTGTTGGTATGACAGGGTCACAGATCATTTTCTTGAAAAGGAACGGAGAGTAGAATTCACATATGAATAAACGGAAACATTTTATGATGTAGGCCGAAATTGAGCTTCCCCTCCTTGACAGAGCAGCATCTGGTTCATACATTCTAAGCGTGGCGAACGAATACACTCTTGCAGTGAATGCATTACTGTTGAGTCAACCAAACGTCTTACGGCTACTTGATCTTTTAAGCGGGCATATTATTGCCAGTCATGCCAGGAGTGACAGTCGATTCAATTGGGAAAATCAATTGTCTTGTATAATTTGGTAAAAAGTGAAATAATGAATACATGAGGTAGTCTCACAGAATGATTAATAATTATTATTAGTGCTGTTCTATTATAACACATTTTTATTTATTGTAACTATATGTTAATTTATCCATGCCTGTGGCATAGAAGGATAGGCTGAATAATTTATACCATTGGATGGCAGTGGGTGCAATAAACCTGTGTATCCACCAGAGGTGGGAGTCAGTCACATGTGCAAATATATATATTATTTAAAAGACTAAGTGTCAGTTTTTTGTAAACGTCCGTGAAAATACAAAAGTGGCCAAACATATGTTCTTGGTGCCGCAAATATTAAATATGAAATTATTCAAAACAGTTTCAAGGCATGCATTTTTGTGATGACACAACCGACACCACCGAGTTGGTCGACTTTTTTCCCAGCTCTACTCTAAACCTATGGGCAATTCTTCTAAATTACTTGTTTTTTCGGCGAAGCTATAGTACTCAGAGGGAACCCATACATCATGCATAGGGTGACAGTTGTAATTTAACATAGAAAAGCTCAAGGTGAAGATCCAGAACCGGATCCCAAACCTTCCTGCTATGACTCAGGAGTTCTCACCAGTATGGCTCTTTTCATTTAAGTGTTTTATTCATAGTTGTGAATGAAATCAGCAACGTGCAGATCCAACGCTTACGAGGGTTGATACAGAACACAGAAAACGGTACCCTGTGGTTTTGAAGATACAAAGATTTCAAAACGACTAACTTTAAGGGATGAGTAGAACCACAAATGGAATGACACAACCATCAAACACACATTCCTCCAGCAGTACATTTTGTCTGGCCAATTCCAAAGGCTAATACATGCTTTTTTCCAGAAACTCATTGCCTAGAAGAGACCGCATGTACTTTTATCAGCACAACATAATGTTTGAGTACTAGTATTTGCCAGCTCCACGTTGATTAATGTTGCAGAAAAAAACAGGGTTTAGATACCGAGGGGAGGACTCATATTCATGTCGCTTCAAACCCAAGAGAGTGCAACTCAGCACTGCATATGAAAAAGCACTGGTAAGGGAAGCTCTCACGCAACACACATTTGTAGTACATACAGCCGATTAACAATATTTATCCTAGAACAACATGCAAATACAGTGGTACCTCTACTTACCAAATTAATTGGTTCTGGAAGAAATTTCTTAACTTGAAAATTTTGTAAGTAGAGACGCGTTTTCCATGTAAATGTCCTAAGTCGTTCCAAGCCCCCCCCCCCAATTCAGACATCAATGTTTCCGATAGCATAAAAATATGTAACACATACATGTTACAATTAGATTATTGTACTATAAATGAGAGTTGTGAAATAGAGTAAAGAATAAAAATTATGGTCATTTAACTTTTAACTGTCCTCATCGTTTTTTGCCCTTTTTAGTCCATGTTCTCTCTCAGAAGTGTTTTTTTGCCAGGCGTTTTTGTAAAGAACTGATCCAAGGACGTTTGCTTTTATCGGCTTTTAACAATCTTTCGAAAATTTCCAAGGCAAACATCAGCATAGTGAGCGATCGCCCGACACTTTTTCTGGGTGATTGACATTTACGTAAAACTATCGGAACGCCTCATGGCCCGAGGGGCGAATGACGAGGACGCTGCATCAACACATATCTATTTATTTATCCTCACACATAGCCACACACGGTAGAAGTCCCTCTTAGCCAATGGGATGCCATGATGATGCTCGGTAATAGCCAATGGCGGAGCAGCTATAAGTATGTTGCGTTCAGGAAACTCGGAGCTGCAAGTAGTGGCCCATACTGTATTTTTACCTTTCGTATCTTGACATTTCTTTCATAACGAGGCAATATTTTCTTGAGACGTTTCGTAACTTGAAAATTTCATCTGAAGAGACTTCGTAAGTAGAGGTACCACTGTACAAGGGTTTCCAGGCCTTCTTCATTTTCAAAGTTTGTCACCGATGTCACTGAGTGATCCAAGTGTGACCGGAGGATTTTGAGAATAGGGCTATTGCTTTTGAATCTTTTTAGAAATCAATTATCCTCTTACATTTTCCATCGTATTTTCCAATGAGTCCGGCAGTCTGGGAAAATGGTGACTGGAGTGCATTTATATAGCACTTTATCCACACCATCACGGTACCCAAAGTGCTTTAAAGAGGTTTATATTCACCCATTCGCTCACCCATTTATACACCAATGGGTGTCTGCAGCCATACAAAGCATTACCAGGCCCACTGGGAGCAAATCAGGGTTTGAGGTCTCGCCCAAGAAATCTTCAGTGCAACTGGGAGTGGCAATAAAAAGCTTGAAGCAAGCAACCAGAATTTGGACATTAACCTGAATATTGACTGCATGTAAACAGTCTGTAGGGGCTGATTTTTATTATTTTTTTTTTAATGAGACGATTGGCCTAAAAAATGGCTTGAGTTTTGAAAGAGGTGAAATAGGGTGTAACAACTATCGTATAATTATTGGTCTTGATTTCACAAAAACACGTTACTGTCTATATTGGCACATTTGGGAACTATTTTTAATTGTGAAAAACATGCACAATGTGTCTTCTATGACAGTGGTCCCACACCTCATTTGCATCACAGACCACTTGAGACAAGTAAATGCTTTTCATGGATCAGCAACCAGTCACCGACGGGAGGGGTGGGGAATGCAGGGTATAAAAACCGATTTTCTCATTGCTTTTAAATTTAGTTTTAAAGCATTTTAAAGCCAACATGTTTTCTTTCATTTCACATAGTTGTATTCAACAGTACAACAAATGTAGAACAATATAAAATAACACAGTTAAGTACTAAAAATGGACCCCTCAGGAATAATGAACATACCTTAAACTGTAAACATAATACTTTTTGAGTTATGATCCGACATACAGAGTTAACGTCATTGCTACTTGCAAACGTACATGATCAAAAGTTGACACACTGACGCTTTCATCCTGTGACTGTGTGTTACTATGGCTTAGCTGCTAATTTTACATGGGCAGGCTGTGCTCATGCTTTCCACGTCATCACTTGCGTGCTACTTGAAATTATTCAACAGGTTTGTTGCGTTGCCTTGAGTTTGATGACACATCTTGCACAATGGCTTCGTCCTCTATTTCAGGGGTCCCCAAACGCCGGTCCGCGGACCGGTACCGGTCCGCAGGGCATTTGGTACCAGGCCGCACAGAAAGAACTTGCCTTATTTCCGTTTCATTTATTTCGGAATACGAAATGTTTTATTTTGAAAAATTACCGGATTCTCTGTTACATCCGTCTGTGTCACGCTTGACTCACGTCAAGGCACAGTTCTCGGTCAGGTGACTGATGACGCTCATAAACAAAACGCTGAAGCCCGCAAAATGAGTAAAAAAGCTGCTTGGAGATCGCAAATGACGGCGGCCTTAAAAGTACGTTCGAAAGTAACAACTGGATCAAAGTTATGGCTGAATACTCTGAGATCGCCACAATAGCACTGTTGCTATTTCCGACATCCTACCTGTGTGAGGTGTGGAGTTTCTGCAGCAACAGCGACTAAAACAAAATTACGAAGTAGACTCGACATAAACCACACACTTGAGGTGTCATTGTCTCCTATTACCCCGAGATGGGACTGTCTGATTGCAGAAAATCAAGCTCGGGGCTGTGGTGAGTCGTCATTTTCATGCACTTTGAATTTGCGTTGTATCGTATTTTGAAGGCATTAAACATTACCAGAGCGATAAGAGTGTTGCGACCAGATTAGACGCTCCTTGTGTTTATTATTATATTTCGAAAACACCACAGTTTTCATGCAGCTCATACCATATTATTTTGTTGTATTAATCCGCCACACCTTAAATGCCGGTCCCTGAAAATATTGTCTGACTTAAACCGGTCCGTGGGGCAAAAAAGGTTGGGGACCCCTGCTCTATTTCGCCCTGGAGCTACTGCCACACGATCAATTGGAAGGAACTTCTCATGAGTCATTGCTGCCCATCCGGTCTGCATTTAGCTGCACGTCCGGTTGTTATTACTGTTGTTACTATTACTTTGTTTAGTGCGTCTTTTTTTTTAAAAGTTTATTTCATTTATGATTATTATTATTTTTTTAGATTCCGTTTATTTCATCTGGGAAACCAAATTTGGAAGGAAAAGCTGGACTCTCATTTCCGCCGCGTCTGATGGAGTAATATGCTCACAGCTGGTCTCATAATATCACAATTTTCAATCATATAGTCACTCAGCCATACTTATATTACCCTTTGGAAGTTAATCAACGGGGTGCGGGTTGGGGGCTTGGCTGGGGAAAAACAATGTTTTTTTTTCTTTCTTTTGGTCTGTCTTCTGTGCGGCCCGGTACCAAATGGGCCGTCGACCATTGGTTTGGGACCACTGTCCTATGACCTTCAGGAGACAACTGTGTGTTTTTATCCTCAAACAGGACCTATAGACAAAGACCATTGGAGTTTTAAACTGAGCATTAGAGTTGACTTGCTCTGTTCCTTTAGAAAAAAAAAACTGAAAGGCTTCCTTTGTAGTACACCTGCATAAAATAAAAGACACAATTTGCTTGTAATGCATCATTATAAGACACTCCTATCGATGTTGTTTCACAATAGTTTCAAGCAAAAATCTCAAATTGCTGTCATCATCTAACCAAACAAAAGCAGCGCTGTTCATACATGATGACTAAACTAATCCAGGTCAATGTGATAATGGAGCTAACAATTTCGACCATGATATCAAAATAGATCTATGCTCAATAAGGAGTGTGATCTCCATTGGTAAGTCATCTGCGATAAAGAGGGTTAATATACTGTAAAGATCCAAGATGCTTATAGATGTTTTTTCTCAGAGCTTTAAATGAATACTTTCTACTTTAGTCAGATTTCCCTCACTGATAATGATTACAGCAGAAAAATTGTTTAAATATCTTGTAAGAGCAACACCTATATCAGTTTTAAAAACAACAACTTAACCAGAGAGCAGATGGTCAAAAAATGTATAATGCTGATAATAATAATATCCCCAAGTTGGGTTGACACCAACTACAAAGGATTTCACTTTTGTTTCCTTTTCACAAAAATTGTATTTTTTAAAAGCAATGCTACTCCTACAGGTAACTGTTAAACTGATTATGATTTTTAGTTATCATACATTTGCATATTAGGTTTATTATTTTACTTGACTTACTTAACTGTTTTGTTAACATACAGCTGCAGCTGTTGTGAAAGCACCATATAAATCAGGATTTATTGAATTGTATTGTATTAATGATGAATTTATTATGCTTGCAATGAAAAATTGATTATGCCTGCAATGAAGAATGCTTATGCTTTTAGTAAAGATATAATTATGCTTTTAATAAAGATATGCTCACATTTATAATAAAGAATGCTAAGTGCACTGTGTGACAGTTGAGGGACGCAACAACCTTTCCGACAAAGTGGTTGGGAAGAGATAAAGTGAAAAGACAAAACAAAAGCAATGTCGGACGTGGATGGAGCTGTCAACACCAGCTGCAACCAACTTGGTGTTTTTATTATGATTGCACACATGTACGTAATTTTTACTCACATACACACCAGTGTTGTGTCCAAGGACCGGCAACCCGAGGCCAAGGCCAAGGCCAAGGACTTGCCTCCGAGGCCAAGGCCAAGGCCAAGGACTTGGAAAATTTTCCAAGGCAAGGTCAAGGCCAAGGACTTGCTTCCGAGGCCAAGGCCAAGGACCAAGGACTGATTTTGAAACTGAGGCCTAGCCAAGGACATGTATTAAACAATGCTATCATACCACTTGGCAGGTCCTCATGATTTGCAACACCCCTCCATCATAACCCTTTGCACTCCCTAACGCTTGAATGAAGTGTTTTTATTCAAAGAGTAGAACAGTCAGGGTACGTGTTATTTATACTGAGAAAAAGAAATAAAATCATATGATATACATTTATGAATGAATGTTTTAGTGCAGTAGTTTCTTAATATGAAGTAAATCAACACTCAACAGGCATGAAGTGGCACGGAACACAAGTTGAGAAATGACTTTGCATAGAAGTCAATCACTGACTGCAGAAAAAGCGGTAATCTCTCAGTGATAATTTTACAGTTTACCGGCAGCGAATCCCAGGGACTCACTGATCAGAAAAGTATGAGTCCCATTCTGCATTGAGAGAGTCCCAAATTTCGAATTCCAAAATGGTCTACTTATTCAATTGCATATGATAATAGCACAAACAACAACATATACATACAATTATCAACAAATGCTGCAAAAATTATATAATTCAGGAGCAGGCCTGAGGATTTCGGAAATTCATGGTAACCGTTTTTCGGTTCCGTCGGATTACCCAATGGGAAA